ACCCGGGTTCAATTCCCGGTTTAGCCACTCGCACCCTGATATTTCTTTTTTCTCTTCCTTTCTTTCTAATAATTCCTGTCAGTACATAATGATTCTCCATATGTGAGAACAATGTACTAAACTTTTCGTACACTCTAAGTATCTCGAACCAGAGATCGGTGTACAAATTAACTGTCTCACGTAGACTAATAAATTAAATTCTTTAAAAAAATTAAATAATTTCGCACTAACATCCCGCGACGGCTCTCAATGCCTTTCTATTACATTGTTTGATAAACATTTTTAAGTATTTTTAATGGAAAAAATTATTATTAAATATGAATAATAAATAAATAAATAAATAAAATGTGATTATTAGTCATTAAAGGCCAACGCCCTATTTAAAAAATAAAAATTCTATTAATATGAATATAAAGCAAGTAATGAATAATTTTCTTTTTAAACTTTTTAATCAAAATTTCTAAATATTGAAAGATAAAAAATGAACGATTGTAAATTTTTAAATTTATTATGTTATATTTACGGTTCTTAATGAATTAAATGATATTAAACTGTTTCGTGTTGTAGATCTCCATCGACACATAATATGTCGCCGTGGGTAAAACAAGTGTTTCTAAATTGGATGCCGAGAATACTAATGATGCGTCGCACACCGTATTCTACACCAGAATACGATGATACTTATATGGATAGTGGATATACCAACGAAATAGATTTTAGGTAATTAATTTCAATTGTTTATTTTGCTTTATATAAGCTTGAAGATGTTAGTATACTGAATTTAGAAACAAATTTTTTCTATGTATTATTTTTTATTGAAACGATTTAATTTGTATCTAATTTTATAAATTTTTATTAATATTGAAAAAGAATATTGCCATTTTATAATATGCGCTAGATTAATATGAATGAAGGTGAATTGCTTCGTGTGATAATTGGTTTTAAGCGACATCACATGTGTCAATATTTGCTCTATTTTTTCAATTCTCTTGTGATAGTGTAAGCGACTATCCATTGGAACTAAAGGGAAGTCCAGACGCATTCGAAAGCGTCACTTCTGCATACAAAAGTATCAGAGATGATGATGCACGACACGTACCACACGCATCAGGTAATATTTTTGTCAAATAACGCACCTGAATAATAATCAGTACTAATAAAAATACAACAATGATAAATTCATTAAGTTTTGTAAAAAAAAAAACAAAAATCAAAATGTATAGTGATTCAAAATATCACTTCAGTTACTGATAGCGAAAACACGATGCCGAAACATCTATCCCCAGAGGTCATGTTGGCTCTCAAAGGTGTGCGTTTCATTGCTCAACACATGAAAGACGAGGATAAAACTAAAGAGGTAAGCAATTTATTATCTTTTAAGGTCCTCATATATTTTTACATTATTATAATTCTCATGCTCGTTTGAGCTCAGCATTTTTATACGATACAATAACAATTTGTCACAGTAACGCTATACATCGACAGGATTAATCTTACAGAAATATAAAATCTTATCACTTATCTAAAGCGTTCACTCGTTTTCGCAGGTCATAGAAGATTGGAAATTCGTAGCTATGGTTTTGGACAGATTCTTTCTTTGGATATTCACGATTGCGTGTTTCGGTGGCACGGTGGGCATAATATGCCAAGCACCTAGTCTGTACGACACGCGGAGCCCTGTGGACCAACAACTTTCATCATTGCGTAATTACATATATCCGCCGAACGGGACCGGTCTATTTGACGATATAGATTAATTAGTGAAGCACATGTAAAGCGATTTGCTTGTAAAAAGCAACAGCATGTTACATCTTATACATCCTGTTAAAATACGTTTGACATCTTCTCATCCCGCATCTATCCTCCGGAAAAGTTCATCCTATTTTTTAACAAGAATTATTCTCGAAAAGTAAGTATTGAATTATTATCCTACTAAAAATACTTTTTTTTTATTTAATAAATATAGTTATTACAATTTATCATCAGGATATTTATTCGATTAGCGTAAAAAGTTCCATAATACTGTAGAAATTTTCTGGAGTAACCACACAGTAATCACATATATTCTTTTTTAAAATCTCCGATTATATAATTCAACATAATATAATAGTACCTCTGTGCAGTCTCGTTTTCCTCGTTTTCGCGCAGTTCTCTCTTACTGCCACTACTCTCCTACTAATTTACATTTACCACATACATGATTCCATAAGCATACATTGAATGAAAATCGCTGTGCACATGGCATGATGCTCAAGAATACATTCTACTGAATTAGGAATTTACTGTGGAATAGTTTAAGCGATTAATCAAGGGTCCTTTACTGCAGTCATATTCAATTATGATACAAGATATCCCGTGTCTTCCTTGCACTGTACATTAAGGTAAATTATTCTTTTTTACTCTAGATTAGATTTATGACATATATCAAACATTGTTCCTTCGATTCGTAAATAAATAATTATAAGTCGTGCTCCTAATCGTCAGAAGACCATTTTTGCTGAAAATATATAACTGTAGATATAATTATACATTTATTATTACAAACTCCAAGCAGGAGAACTAATAATGAAATTTTCAACATATCTTTTATCTTAAATAGCAGTATACAGAAAAAATTGTTTTATTTCAGCAAGAAAAAAAATTGACGAAATTTTTTACTTCTGATATTCTGATTCGGTATAACTGCAGTGAAAGATCAAGTCTGTGAATCCTGGTTAAAATAAGCATTATCAAACACATTTTCCACATGCTAAACTTAAATAACACAACGTTAGCGGAAATAAGATGGCTAAAGAGCGAATTTGATAGCTTCCACATAGTCAGATTTTGTGTCAAGATTAATAACAGGCTTATACTACAAAAAACAAAAGGTTTATTTTCACTTACATTATTACAAGATCTTCATTTACATGTTGCATAATCAGTCACTTTAAAAATAGTGAAAACCGTATTAAAATACTCCCCTATTGCAATCATACTCGACTTTAGCAAGTGAGTTTGCCAACTCAGAGCGGATAAAATATTTAAGTTAAATTTGTATTTGGGAATGCAGTGTTATATTATATAAAGTTACAAGAAACGAAGTCTTCTTCATTTTACCCTTGAAACGGGTGTATAAAAACAATGTATATAAGTATATATAGTTAATATGTGTAGTCTTTTTACTTTAATCTTGATCTATCAGTTAAATCTGTAAGCGACTTAAAAAAAAAAAAAGAGGAACTAATATAATTTCACGTTCAATTGAATACAAGTATATGAGAGACATTTGGCTAAGAAAATTTTAATATACAATATTTGAACGAAAATAATGTATATAAAATTGCCTTCTTGAAATTCAAAAGTTTAAACTTCGACTATAATTATAAAGACCAATTACATACATGTCGTATGAAACGTCACGTTTATCATTGTAATTGTATTTTTATAATAATTATACTTTAATATTAACAGATTGTGTTCTGTAAAGGAATTGTTATGAAAACTCTGTGGTATATTAATATCACAGAATTCTTTATTCTAAATCAATTATCATTAACTCGGGCGATTCACTTGTACTACTAATAGAGCTGGTTTGTGATTTCTTTGGCGATGAAATGCCACTGTTTGATTTCTTTGTACTTGGTGTAGGTGTATTGTCTTCATCGTCATCCTCGCTATCTGATATTAAATCGATAACCACAGTACGTTTCTTCTCTTTCGGTGTCGGAGTAGTAGAATTACTTTCATCTAAACAAATAAAAATTGCACATTTTGTATTTTCCGTACTATACTATTGCAATATCTTGTAAGATGTTTTTTCTCTCACCTAAATCAACTGTGTCCACATCAATTTTATTATCTCGCGAATCAGCAACAGCCTTTGCTTCACTTTTTTCCTTCTCTTTATCTTTGTCTTTCTCTTTTTTAATAACTAAGTTCTCCCATGAACCATCTTGTAACAATTGAATCTCATTTACGTCTGGTAATAATTTATTTGAATTAAGAACTTCCTGGAAGTATCCGTCGATCACAAGATTATCATATAGTGCTGCTTTGTCACAAACTGGGCAGTTCCAAGTAGGTTTTCGTTCATTCATTTGCAAAAACAAGGAAGCATCGAAACACTGCAAATGGAAACATGTTGATGCGCGACATGGCGTGCTCATTCTCATTTTTCCCAAAGGACAAGCCAAAGATACTCTCAATGACGTGGTGGCTATTTCACTATCCGCATCCTCGTTTAATTTCTCCTTAACTGCAAATCAAGATATATTTTTGTAATTGTGATTCTCTCTTTTATTGCAATTCTAATAATGCCTGTAATCGAAAATTAACTTACTTAATCCCCTTGTATAATCAGAATGCCTCACACCTCTATTTTTTAATCTAGTGAGTAATTCCGCACTAGATAATTTTCTAACGAGATACACCGCAATCGCGTATCGCCTACCATAATCAGCCGACCATGAGACGCGTATTTCATTTGCGACAGTGGGTGACAACTTCACCAAAGGACTGATATTAATAGGTCGTGGTGGTCTCTTTGGTTCTACGCTTGGTTTATTAGTAGGTATTGGATTCTGAAAAAAAGTACACACATGATACAACCAATTTACAATCCTTTGATCATTCAAATATAAACTAAAATTTTAAATTTTCCATTTAACAAATATATAAAAATTTTTGTTATATTTAGATGAATGAAGAGCTATCTGATTATTCCAATTCAAGAATTTGCATGTACAAATTCGAAAAAAAAATTGTAGATTTAATTTGAACTTATTGAACTACTTACAGGTAAAGGACACAATTTCCCATTAACTTTTACCGCAATATTTGGAGGAAAATAATCTTCTTGTTCGCACGAGGTCTCTTGCAAACAGAATCGCATTTGCACCTAGTTAAATTACATATAAAAATCATAAGTGTCAATATTACGAAATATACTTTCATTGTTTCTTACATGTTTTTGTGAACAATGATTTAGAATTGATATTTTACATGCGACTTCTCAACATACCTGTACAATATAATCCATTTTACCGCCAGCTCGGCAATCACGCGAAGCAGCAATATCAGTTGCCTGTTGAGGTGTTAAATGAAATACGAATGTGTTTTCTTGCATTCTCATCGATCCCTGTGGCATTAAACTAGACGGTTTCAATAATTCTGCTAATAAATCGAAAAACGGAAGTTTCTTCAGCCTAACATCTGGATGAACAGGATATTGGCTGGTGGGTTGTATTTGTAATGGCGCTGATAAAACTTTGGGTGGATATTGATACGGATTATATCCTGCACTTGGTGTACGCTGAAAAGAAATTTTAAAAAATTTATTATATTTACTATATTATTTACTATATTATTTATTATATTTAGACTTGTATTTGAAACTAAGCTACTCTCATTTATTGGCAATATTTATTTTTAATTTTTCACAGATATAAGAATAACATTATTTGCATACCTGTGGTACTACAGTAGTATAACCGGTTTGTGGATATGGATTGGTTCTAGGTGCTTGAGGTAGGGATGCTTGATGTGCAGGAGGTAAATCCTTCCCAGCAGATGCCTGCTGTTGCTGTTGCTGACTCATAGCCTGTCTATGCAAATATACAATAAATAAGTAAATATTTATGAAAAAGATATAGTAAATAAAAGATATAGTAAATAAGTAACTATTTTTTTACTATATCTTTTTAAGCGTAATTTTGTAGAGTAATTTTGTATGAAACAAAAAAGTATTAAAACATTTTTAGTAGACATACATTGTTAGTTTTACTAATGTAATTGTAATAAAGTATAATGCAGTGCAAATTTTCTTTTTTTGTGTAAAAATTATAAAAACATTTTTCTTTTTTACATATATATATATATATATATATATATATAAGAAAATAGTTATATAATTTTATAAAGTAATTCCGGAGGAAAAATCAATACTTTGGAGTGTTAGTATCAGTCAACACAAGCAAATAATTTATATTAACATTTTTGCTTATGTTGACCAATACTAACCTCTCACTTCCAAAAGTATTAACCTTTCTTCCTAAATCATCCTATATAATCATTCTTGCTTTTTAAGCGCTAAAGTAATGCAATATAATGAACCAAAGGTATTAAGGGTTGCATTAATCAGAGGTAGCAAATACCTTGTGGAGTAATAATTTCTGTTATGCATATTTTGGTCAATTTGTGGTTCAGTCGAACCACCAGTTTGACCATACATTTGATGAGCTGCCATCTGATCTGCTCTGAAAATATATTTTCATTCCAGATCTTATTCGAGATAACAAAAAAAATATCATAACAAAAGCTTGTTCTCTGACTGTACGACTTACTATCTTACAAAAGCTTGGTCTCCCAAACTTATTATGAATTTTGGAGTAAATGCTTGAAAGTAATTTATTTATAGATGATAAGTGCAAGATTATTTGTATACTTTCTACAGAGGCTTCATTTCTCTATAGAGGCTTTCAAACTTTCACTTTTCAACTTACTGTATTGTCTTATATAATTCACGTATTTTCATGCGGACAGCTGGATGTGATCTCAAACGTAATAGCTCCAATGCACGCGCTTGTAACTCGTTCTTTCTGCCAGATTTATTTCTACCAGCAAAACCGAGAAGCATCTGAAGCTCAGATACTCGAAAACTTAATACCATACTCTGCAATCAAAACATTCCATTCCCTATCAATGTAATCTTTTTTGAAGAATTATAACAAAGTATATTATATACTTTGTATATTACACATATAAAAAGATTCTCGAATATTATTTATCAAAGTTTTTTAAAGCACAATGCGTCTTAAAAATGTTTTCAGTATGATATATTACTAATTTTTTTTTTCATACCTAAAACGATTTATTATAGACAATTCTATTGTAATACATGTTTGGTTTTCCAGATTTACAATGGCCAAAAGCAATAACGTGGCAATATGCGCATTTTAATAACCATGCTGGACGAATAAAATCCCACAAGTTCGTGCCGTGGATAAGAGCAACGAAATGTGAGAGCAATATACTGAGAGGTTACCCACAGGTTTTCACGAAATCGTACCACGGAAGTCATGGATCGCTTCCATTCTCGGGAGTATCCAACACTGCAATCTATCAATCAATCCGCTCCAATGTGATTCAATAGGAGACACCGTGACGATCACTGCTATGTACTACGTAACCGTAAACGTATCAGCTGATACACGAAGAAAGCGCGCCCGCGAAATAATGTTAGACCGGCACACATCGAGGGCGTGCGTGGCACCGAGTCACAACGAGACGCCGTACACTCCACAAACAGAGAGACAATCATCCATTGGGAATTCCGGGGATCGAGCCGGAACTGAAGGCAACGCTGGGCGACCGGAATAGCAGGTCGCTTATCCGGCGCTTTATCCGCTAACCGGGAAACGCCACGATGCCCCTCACATCCGCCGTACTCTACTTGATTTGTTATTTCTAACACGCATCGTACTCACCTCCAATTCCTCAGTATCCGCCATCTTCTTGGCTGACTTTTTTCCCGCAGCCGTTTTGCTGACGTTATTTCGAAACTTGTGACTAGAAAAATATACACACGATCGCCGCTGTGCCGTTACGCCCGCCGCACTCGCACATTCGTTTCTCCCTCTCTGTCTTTACCCCTTTTCCTCTCGTCCTCCTCACTCTCTCTCTCTTTCTTTCTCTCCCTCTCTTTCTCTCTCTCTCTCTCTCTCTCTCTCTCTCTCTCTCTCTCTCTCTCTCTCTCCCTTTCTCTCTCTCTCTCTTTCTCTCTCTTCACTAACGGACGTCCGTGTACTGCAGTATACTGAAGTAGTGAATCAAATAATCTCTGTATTCTGAAGTTTCTCCTTAGTTTCCACTCTTTCACTGGTAGCACATGCGCATGATAAAAATATGCAAAAATTTTCGTCGTGCATATAACAATATTTTGCACTCTACGCATGCTCGCGCTGCCGTGCAGCCAGCCGGTGACAGCTGATTGTGGGAAAACGGCAAAAGAGAAGAATTTTACTTTATAAACAGTCAATTGCTTAAAAATACGGATTGGACGAATGAAAAAAATATTGTAACACTTTTTTGCTTGGTGATTCATGCCGAAGGTCTATGCAAGGTCTATTGTAGAATTCATCAAACGTAAGAATGTACAACTTTTCCATAGCTAACTATACAAATTTATCGTATGTTAAGAGCCTGTTTTGGATTATTTTACCAATTATAAAATAGACAAGCCGATAATTAGGTAAATTTATACTCGTAAGCAACTCGTGAATGTTATCAATTCTATTTTAACTATATTACTTATATATACTTATATATATTTAAAAAGAAATGAATATTATGATTAAAAAAGAATGTGAAAAGGGAGACTTAATGAAAACAACGTTAATTATTAACAATTATAGCATAGAATAGAAATGAATAGAATATTGACACTGGCATAGATTTGTGTTTACCGCCACTCCCCACTTCCGTCACATGACCGATTTTAGTTCACTCACATCTGGGTTTTAAGATAGATGTCGTTGAAACTATCGTCCACCATTTTGGCTAACAGCTCTTTTGCCGCTTTGTATTTTTCCGCTTTAATTCCAGGATTTGTTGAAGGTACTTTTTATGCGCATGTAATATATAATTCTTTTGATAGAGGTACGATTAATACTATTTCAATATACATATTTAATTTCCAGTTTGTCTTTCACAGTATTCTTCAACTTTTGACGTTTTCCGACAATTGTTGATTTTCTATCACTCCACCTTCTCTGTCTCTTTCTTTCACGTCTTTTATTTCATTTGTCAGGTCATCTGAATTAATTTATTTCTCCTTAATGGATTTTTGCTGTATTCGGTTTTTGTAATCTCTATCTTCCCGTATCTCAATCTTCTCTTACGCTATCTTTGATCTTATCTTCCGCTTTGACAAAATTCCTTCATTGAAATGATTTCGTCAAAGTGACTTTGTCGAAATGACGATGTTGCTCTACACAATGAAACGTTTTATTTTAATATTAGTAATTTAGTTTTTTCAACAGAGTGTCATAATCATAATCACTGCATAATTTAATATACGGCCTAAATTTCAGTACAATTTTGTACTGAAATTTGCATAAAGATTCTCTGAATCTATAGCTAATGTTTTTTTATCTCAACATATAACAGTTCTTTCCACACACACAAAACTCTAATGTAAACAATTTTATTCAAATTTTAGAAAATCTGAAACAGATTTTATAATAATATTGCAAGATTATTGCAAGATCGATCTGATTTAAAAATTTTAACATTTTTTTAGTTTTTAATTCTATTTTTAATCTGCTTGGATACGCCTACTTAGGCAAATGTTAAAACAAAATTTATCATGTGCTTATCAATAAATATATTGGAACGATTCAATCCGATCTCTTTGATCAATTGACTTGCTTTTTATTATTGAAAATTTTACACAATTATAAGATAAACAGATGAAATTGATATATTTTTATCAAAATAATTATATTCTCTTTTCTCCACTTGGTGTGATTATTCATACATAATAATGAATATTGTTCTAACAAGTCGATTTTTCTACCAAATTGTTTAATTTTACGATTTTGCAAAAAATAAAATATAACCTTTTATGATTATCTTCAATTTTATAGCAACCAAAGCACTAACTGTGTTATGAATTACAGGGCAAATAAAATATGGCACAATGGAAGACTCCAGATGCTTCCGATCTATTATTTGGATATTCTTAATCTGGAATCAGGATACTCTTATCGCTTTATTTGTCAAAAATGACTACCGAAGGAACAGCTACTAAATAGCAGGATTTTTAGACTGCATCATTGTCATTGAAAGTGGAATATTCTTGGCGCTTTTCTTTTTAACAGCCTACCTTTGTCTTTTACGGTATGTAAATATTTAATAATATATTTTACATAAAATATCTAAAAATATATTTAGAAACAAATGATAATAATTTGGTAGTGAAATAAGGAGACGGAATTTTGAGTGACAATTTTAATTTGTTTTTAGAAATTTATAACTATTTACAATTAGTCTTTATTGATAAAATAATTCTTTTTAATATATATTTGCTAATGATTGTATTTACGCATCTTTACTTACTTAGCTGCAAATCATCAAGTAAAACTTTCTCATTCCTACGAATATAATTTTATCTATATTGTCAAATCTAAGTTACAAAAAAATCATATATTAATAAAGTGATGTGCAGAGAGTTGTATTGACGGGAAAGTGTAAAAAGGCAATTTTATATTATCAGATTTATTAAAATACTTCAGCAAAATAATCTACATCTACAAATAACATAATTTTATCAAACATACAATACTTTGTATTTTTTCATCGTTAACTTTCAGCTTTTTTTATGTTCTTCGAGAATGATAATCATTTACCAGTCAACCACCAGTCGTCCCAGCTGTTTTTACAATTATCTTTCACATTTTCCGCGTAGTCGCATACCAGTCTGTTCTCATCAAAATACCTTCCCCAAGGACAGCTTAATATTTCCTTCCTCTTATTTACACATCTGTAATACAATCTGCAATCACACTCGTGAGACCATGTCTCATCAATAGAATTTTTACAGTCGCCAGGATTTTTTTCGCAACCAGCATCTACTGGATGCATGCATCTTTGCTCGACAGGATTAAAATGAAGACCGGACGAGCACTTAGAAAAAACCCATTCTTCCGATTGGCAGGTGTAATACATGGTACAGTTACATTCGTGAGGCTTTCGTGTGTTTTCCTCGCACTCCGGGTCCCTGTTGCAAGGTCCTACCACGCAAGTAGAGGTTCTTTTGTTGAAGTTCGATCCCTCCTCACACTCTTGCAAGACTTTTCTGTTGTTTTTACACACGTAATATTTCTCGCATCTACATTCGTGAGGAAGATTTACGCCTTCTATGCATTCCGGGTTTGCAGGTTCATCATCATCGCATGTAGTCCCCTTAATGCAATATCGAAGGCTCTTGCTAAAGTGCTCTCCGCTGGGACACTCATGCAAGATTTTGAGATTATTTTTGCACTCATAGAATTTAAAGCAGTTACATTCGTGCGCTAATAAGTCGCCGTTCTTCGTGCAATCGGTGGCGCCTTTGCCGCATTCTGATTTGTCGGGTTCCAAGCAGCCTCCCCATATTTTACTAAAGTGTAGACCGCGCGCACATTCTTGCAAAATCTTCCGACCGTTTTTGCACTCATAATATTTACTGCAATCCGTTTCGTGGAATAGTAACTTCGGTGGGCAAGTATCCACCACAGGACATTCGTCTTCTTCTTCTAATACAGATATAAACTCCGCGGTAATCACGGTGCAAGATGCCAAAAAGGCGATGGCGATTAGGTATATTCCTATACAGAAATGATCACAATCATTATTCTACTGTTGTTGCAATTGCAAAAAATATCAATTATTTACATGTAAATTCGATTTTATAGAAAAGTTTCGATACTTTATATAATATAAATATCATGGTTGTTTTTTTAATTTTACAGTCTTATTAATGAAATTGTTATATCTTTCAGTACTCACCCTTCATCGCCTGTCACTTAATTTATTCGTATTTGAAGAGAAGAAAACGTAACGTTTGTTCTATTACCACCTCACTGATCTGTTTAAATACAAAAGTGACTGAAATAGGGCGTGCCATCTTTTAAATATGCATTGTTATCGCAAAATACAAGGACAGATTATCATATCTATTAAAAACAGGGCCGTATATTTTTTTTAAGCTTTACACGCATGATTTTTAGTACTCTCACAGCACAGAAATTTTAATGGATACAAAGAAAACGAGCATTTTTCATAAATTTGATTAATGCAATAGTTATTATTGAATTACAATATTATAATGAATAAATATTACACAAATAATAAATTTTTTTAATTATTAATATTTTATAAAAATTTATAATTTATTATAAGAGATATAAGGAATTTATAATTTACATAAAGTACATAATATTTATTTTTTGTATTTTTCTAACTTTATATTATAAATTATTTTGTTGATAGAAATATTTGAACGGAAATGTTCAAAAGTATAAGAATATATTATCGTTTTATTGTATAGATATTTATCACATATATTATCAAATTAACAAAATTGCTGTCATAACTTTTTCTAATAATGCAGTTTGTCGGAAACCTTTGAATTTACGAGGCTTTCAACTAACATCTTGTGCGTTTATAAGTATGTACGGTCTTGAGTAAAAAAACATACTTTTCATTCTTTTACGGAAGAGACGATTATCAGTCACATTCATCGAAAAATTGTTGAGTACGTCAGATTTAGGCCATGATCATTGGAATCTTTGTGTAATCAAATGTGAGTAAATAACTATCATGAATTATGGAATATAAAAAATTAGAATTATATTTAGATTTTATATTATCTTATTTTTATCGTGAAATCTCTCTCTCTCTCTCTCTTTCTCTCTCTCTTAAACTTTATTTTGATCAAGAGTATGTGACTTATATTTATTATAGATATAAAGAATATAATAAATTGATTAAGAATCAAGGTGACTCTTGATTATGACTTTTAATTAGATAGCGCGTGCAGTAAATGTTTTATACTATTTAAAATAGTTTTCAGTAGTTAATCGTTGTCCCCGCTACGGCTAAGAGACAATATTAAAAAATAGTAAAATATCGATTATTTATCGTAATTCCATCACAATGGTACGTACGTACATTCGGTGTGTGAATATTGACTATAATTATTATTTATATTAAAAATGTTAAAAGTTTTTAAACTGATTCTTAAGTAGCTTTTAACTTTAAACTGTCTATTTTTTTATTCCTGTACGGTTCTTGAGTAGAAAAACAGCTACAGTGTTCGTTTATAATTACAAAATTAAAAAACTAGAATAATTCTTAAAATTTTTCAAAGTACATTTTGAAAAATACATTTTTCTCTTATCACGAAGAAAAAACTGTCAGTTACATTCATCGAAAAATTGTTGCATGCCTTAGATTTGGGTCAAGATCAATGAACAATCTTTGTGCAAACGTAATGTTACCAATATTTGAAATATCTCAATTCAGAGATTATGATTAGAAATAAAAATAAATTTACCATAAACAACTATGAGAGAGTGAGAAGGAGGGAGAAGGAGAGGAGAGAGAGATACTGAATTGCGATATATTGTCAATTTTTTTTATTTTGAAATTATTTTTTTAAATATTGTGTATATGTGTATATTTCATGGTGTGAACTACAAATGAAATTATTACTACTACAAATAATTAAAAGCATGATATTATTTATCGAAAATCAGTTTATCTATCAGTAAGTGGAGTGTTAAGTAGATTCTTGAATTTGTGTAATCTTTAAGTATCAGTCAAGGTTTTAAAATTTTGAGTATATATCTCATATCTTGATTGTATCAATCTTACAATGGCACAAAACATCCTGGAAACATCCCAATATCCCATTGTTCTGAGAATTACCTCAGGATATCCTAAGGATATCCAGGATGTCCCCAGAATGTTTTGTGCTATCTGGGATTATATTGTTAAAACATATAATCTAATGTAATACACAATAAAAATAATTTATAAAATAAAAAAAAATTGTAGTTTAATTTAATTAATGTTAATACAATTACTATTATTATTTGTTTACTATATTTTTTTATTTTTCAGCATCAAATCTCCGCTCTGTAGTTCCCGACATATTATCTTAAGATGGATTCTTCCTCTGGAATGCTAGCAGTCCCGAAATCTGATCTAGCTCGTACAACTGGATAGTTACTTTATGAAGGCATGAATGGGCTTTGGCATCCTATGATATCGCAGGTCATTGTAGATCATTATATCCACGTAATTATGCTAAAGGTATTAAAAACTCCGTTTTGGTAAGTCACAATAAATTCTATGACAAATCATTAATTACTTATAAATATGAAAACTACTTGTATACATGTATACATATACGAAAAATGTGCGTGTGAAAGCCTATATCTTTTTTTCTTAAAAGAAAATTTTCTACTCAAGTTGCATGTCTCAGATTGTATCCACTTGACCGAGATACAATATTTATAAGGGTTTTTACATTTTTTATGCAAGTTGTTTAATAATTATCTTTTGTATCTCATAATATAAGCTTACAATTAAGCATAGAATAATAAGTAAGAGCTCTTCTTCCATTTGTCATTCAATTACTGTTGATTGATATGCATATCTTTTATATCTTGTTATCGATTGATTAGTGCAAAGTTCAATTTCCCTTGAGTATCTTATCAAAAGACATGTTTTCGCGTCAAGTATAAGACATTAGGTCATACGTATTACGAAATCGTGTATATATAAGGTGTAACTAATAATACAAATTTTTTTATGTGAAATGTTTTTGAAAAAAATGATTTGAGAAATTGGGGATTAATATTATTTCAAAAATTTAAATATTTTAAAAATATTCTTTATTAATTTTATATCTCATATCACCGAGTATATCTAGACATAGCAACTATTTAATACATAAATAATATATGCAAAAAAGTTATTTAATATACTGAGATATTTGAATTAAATTTATTCATTAAATTGTTGTAGTATGATTTTGAAACGATTTTATGACAATTATATGAAATTAAACTTCTTTAATATGAATCACCATGTATATGATGAATCATGTCATCTACTACAAGATCACAATAATTAAATCAAGATATTGAAAAAATTCCAAGAATTATTTAATTTAATAGAAATATATCTTTTAAATGATCTTGAAATTTTCGTTATCTTGAAAATTTATTTTTAATGTAGCAAGCACTTTATAACGACAAGAAATATTTTTAAATGCAATATTATATTAAATTTATATTATATTTTAAATATAATATTTTTTATTGTGTTTAATTTTTAGGAAAACATGATACTTTCTCACATTTATTAGTCATTTCACTACATGTTGTCTTTAATAATGTTTTTCTCTTCTAAAATTATGTTTTTAATATTATAAAGTAATTCGAATTAAATTAAATTAATTCAGTGATATAAATATGATTAAGAGTTCACATAATTAATTATCATGTATTACTAAAATTATTGACATCTATTTTTTATAAGATTATATATATATATATATATATATACATACATACATACATATATTTTTTAAAATATAAATATACAAAATTTTATTGAATTGTTCTAAACCAAAGTTATTAGTAATAATTTATAACTGTCTCTTTCGAGTTATGATCCATGATATTATTAGAGTGTTAATCCTTTTTTAAATCATTTTTATAATATATTACATGTAATATTGTTTTTTGCGCGAATATCATAATTCTACTGTGGCGCGCTCTCTCTCTGTATTTTACACGTAAAACAAAAAATACAAACCCGTAGTTTATAGTTTCTTTACAAGAGGTCTCTGTAGTCTCTCCTGCCCGTTTTTGAGTGCGACCATCTTTTATCTCAACTTTCTCGCTAGATCCGAACAGTTCGCGGAATTTATATATCATACGTATCTGTGTGACAATTTAAAAACATGGCTACCATGTGAAAGATGAATCGGTTCATATTGTAAACAAGTTTATATTTAGTTTGTCGCAACAGTTTCGTTTTGTGTTGCCGACATATAAGTCGCCGACAGGAACATTCCTAGCACTCTGGAGCTGCATCGAGAAAGACTAAACAACTCCGGGAGTGAAACACGCGAACTCGCAATAGCACAGATTCTATGTTTCTCACCAACTACTGTTATTTCGTTACCTTCGTCCATTAACTGGCAGAATTTTGGTACTGCTGTGTAATCGAGGTACATCGAAAATTTATACGAAAGTTCTTCTGTAATAGCATTGCTAGTTTCATAACTAAGATCGAAATCGCTTCTTAATCGCTATTTATCTGCTATTTATATTACAGATGCTATTGAGAAATTTGGAGTAATAGAATGTGAAGAAGTTGCAAACGAGTATTATCTTGTACGAAATCACTGCTCTCTAATAAATATCCATGGATACTGCAGATTTTGATATTATCCGTCATCCAAGAACCATTATTCACTTGGATGTTGACTGTTTCTATGCCCAGGTGGAAATGCTCAGGCATCCCGAATTGGAGGGAAAGCCGTTAGGTGTACAGCAAAAAAATATAGTTGTCACCAGCAATTATCTGGCAAGAAAGTATGGAGTAAAGAAATGTATGCCATTGCATGAGGCTTTAAACTTATGCCCAAATTTGGCTTTGGTAAATGGAGAGGATTTAACAAACTATCGCCATTATTCGACCAAAATATTTGAAATTTTGAACCAATTTACACCATTAGTGGAAAGACTGGGTTTTGACGATAACTTTCTTGATGTGACATCAATAGTGGAGAAACAATTTAAATCTCAAAATGACTTAGACTCACGTGAGATGAGTAGTTCGAATATGAACGAAGATATAAAAGAGATAGATAAAATATTTGGTCTATCGGAAGAGGAATGCCCATGTGACTGTCATACACGCTTAATGATCGGTTCCAAGATAGCTGCTGAAATAAGGAATCGTATTTATGAAGAACTCCATCTTACTTGCAGTGCCGGAATAGCACATAATAAACTTTTAGCCAAATTAGCAGGATCTATAAACAAACCAAATCAACAAACATTAGTTTTTCCATGCAGTGGACCAATGTTGCTCACCGCAGTGGGCTCTGTATCCAAAATACCTGGTGTTGGACAAAAGACCACTGAATTATTGTTATCAAACAACATAAAAACAGTGGACGATCTTCGCAGAATACCTCTGGAAAATTTAGAGCTTAAAATTGGCGTTGATTTAGCAAGGAGATTGAAGGACAATGCGGAAGGAATCGACGAAACTGCGGTGAAACCATCTGGGAAAAAGCAATCTATAGGTTTGGAGGATGGATTTAAGAGTGTATCACTGGTAGCTGAAGTGGAATCGCGATTAGGTGCGCTATTGAGGAGATTAACAGAGCTAGCAATGGAAGATGGTAGAATTCCCACTGCCATAAGAATAACAGTGAGAAAGCACGACTTGAACAAGCCTACTTCTGGTAAGCGAGAGACCAGGCAATGCGCATTGCCGAAACATCTTTTGCCGTCCACGAAAACCGGCGTGTATGATCACAGTAAGATGCTGACGCTTGCCATGAAGCTGTTTCATCGAGTAATCGATGTCTCCAAACCCTTCCACTTGACACTTCTGGGCGTTGCGTTTACAAAGTTTGAAGAAAGATCTTATGGTAGGAGCAGCATTACATCCTTTTTACGCAAGCAGGTCGCTGTTCATTCGGTTCTGGACATCAGTTCTGAGGAGGGCATCTCCGAGATGAATCTAGGATCGCCGATGAGTATCAATCAAGACAGCAACGACAGCTCGGATCAGTCAGCGACGAGCTTTATGAGCACTTCCACATCGAGTCTCCCGTGTTCGCCAATCTCAAAGTTGTCAAGTATGGCAAATCAGATTGCAGAAGACGACCTGCAGAACGAAGTGGAACCAGTACCGAAAAAGACCAAATTGGAAGTGTGGCTCAGTGGTCGACGAGGATCACCAAGCAACGAAATGGCTGGACTGAGACTGAGTCCCTCGTCTCCCATGCAATTGTCACCCACGGTGGACGCCACGGTTTTCAAATCTCTGCCAATCGAGAGGAGGGAAGTCACTCGTTCTTGGCCCACAACTAGCAAACCGAAACCAAACAATATACTTAAATACTTCATAGCCAAGTGACAGAACTCTGTGACCTAGTATTAAATGTCGTTGCTTTTATATATGCGCTTGAATTGACATCATTAAATGCCAGCACCGCATACGATGCTATACAGTATGTGATTCTTAATTTTTAATACTTTAAATACTAAATTTTGAAGTATAAAAAGGAAAAATGTCATAAGTTATTCAAGTTTTTCTCTTTTTAACTGTACATAATTACATTATGTTAAGTAATAAGTTGTATAATATTGAGAAAATGTTTTGTATTACTTATTACAGTACTTTATATTCATAAAGAACCTAAGGTTTGGTTTATTTTAGTAGTATAGAAAAAGGGGAAAAGGAATAGTATTTTCATAAACCAATTCCAATTAGGATATGCTGTGTCCTACAGTGGAAAATTAACTTGAATATTTTTTAAAAATTTAACTTATGACTTGAAGGAGAGAAAATAAGATTTCAGCATTCAACATTTGTGTCAAATTTTTTTCTTACTGTATGCTTTAAATTTATGCTCTGCTATAAATTATCTACTTCTCAATTAAGAATCATTATCTGTATAGATTTACTTCTCTGTGTTTGTATCTATGTCGTGTGCATTTGAATTTTCTGGCTAAAGTGCATTTGCAAATTTTACGCGACAGAAAACATATACATGTTTAATTACATTCAGCATTTAATGTTCTCATATATCTATATTCACAAGAAACGATTTGCAGCTAGCAATAATATCGTATAGGAAAATCATTGTTTCATAGCAGTATAGTTCATGTTATTTTTACATTTTATATTTGACAGTATCAATGAAAAATATTGTAATTGCATTTTTTATTATTCTTAATTTAATTATTTTTTAAACGTTATTTTACCAGCAATATGCTTCAAAAACTTTTCATAACTTTGTGTTGTATTTGCTCGATACTCTCTTTCTCATATTTTATTTAAATTACAAATTTCTGAAAAACAATTCATAAATAATTTCTCTGAAAGTTTTGCTATTAGAATATTTTTCATTGATGCTGTTATACTTTCGCTCTAAGTAATATTCATTTATTATTATATATATGATTTTCATATGGGCACAATACATTAAACATTAAGATTTGCTTTTGAGCGAGACTATTGCAAGAGAAATGTATTCACTTTTTTCATATGACAAGAAGTTTGGCTACAAAACTCTAAAAAAGCGTGTTAAACGAGTTAAAAATACCAAAAGACGTGCTGTGTGTAAGTGAAATTGGTGCTGACATTTGATGTTGTGACTCGCGATGAACAAAAAATTATATATAATTTAACATCTTAAGAAAAAAATTCTATTTTTAGTACTGTTAAACGTTATCTTATAATCAAAGATCGAAACCGACGCATTCTCGGTGAATTTAATTTTCGGTGCTACGCAAAAGAGAATTTTATATCATTAATTACGTTTCTACTATCACGACATTTTCGCGTGTCTACATCGTAGCATCGAAATCTGAATTCGCAGTCAGTGAAATATCGCTTTCCATCCCCGCTTGTAATATATGCACTGAATATCCACGAGCGACAAAGTCGCTTAAAAAGAAAAGAAAAATACTCGGTTATTCCTGCCAGAATCACCACTCCAAGCGTGGAGCTTCATTTTTTTAAATATATCATATAAACGTTTTCGGTGATTATTCGAAAGATGTACTAGACAATCATAAAGTTTTAATGCCGCTTCAGTATGGTACACGGTGATTATCACATGTATACACAATCGTACATACAACATACACACAGACACACACACGACAATTAAACATATATAAATATATATATTGCGAATACTGCTACCGCGCTACCGGTGCGTTCACGGGACATTCACGGTGAGAGTTGCGTTTTTACCTTTTACAGATACTTAAAGAATAGTTTTTTGTTACATACGGGCGAACGGGTTCGTAGGTGATAAACCGAGACAGTGTAGCTTTTGTATTTGCTAAACAGAATATTCATAATTAATACCGATTAAGAGAAGGGGGAGAGGAAGGCAGGGAGAGACGAAAATAGGAAGGAAAAAGAGAGAGAGAGAGAGAGAGTGTGTGTGTGTGGGTGTGAGTGAAAATAAGAGCGAAGAGTGAAGCGATATAGAAAAGTGTGTCCACAATAGAGGCCACCGAACTTTTCTACTTTTATTTATTTACGACATGAATCGGTATAGTCTTTATTTTAAACTTCTGGTTGTGAGTATATATGCATATTTTATACAGACATTGTTTAGGCAGGGATGCAGCGTTGCGAAATACCGTTCGCTTTGTCAACGTCGAGGTCGAGATCGAACGCAGGACTTCACGCTTGGAATCACAATGGATACTGATATTTCAACTATATATGATGAGGACCTTTTCAAGCGACAGCGCAACACTGCGACCTCGCAGTACTTCCGATTTATTTCAATAAAAAAAAACTTCGAGTTGAACATTGCTGCGGCTATTAATCCTACAGCCTGTCTCCGAATTTCCTTATCATAAAAAAAACCGGATAGTCTTAACATACTAATTCTAACTCTTCAAAATACAAAGGTATGAAAAACATATAATTTCTTTAAAACTTCGTTATAATTTACTCTTAGAATTCATTAGATTTAAAAGACAGAAGTTTTGTTTTTGGTTGCGTGTGCATATCATATAAATTTCAAACAATTAAAATGTTTTGTTAATGAGTGATTTTTTGATCAATTTGGAGTTGAGTTCTCATATATCTAAAGATTTCTTTAATACCAAATATAAACCTGTAGAAATTAAGAATTCTTATATAAAGTGATTTGAAATAATTATTTTTGTTGGGAAAATGTATTATGAGCACGATTAAAAAATATTCAAGTAATTTTTTAAATTAAAAATATATATTATTAAAAGAAAGTTCACACACACATACATTTACAGTTAGTTGTAAGGGTTGTAAGGATTATAAATACTTACGATGCAAAAAAAATTTTTTTTTTTTTTTAAGTATGATTATGTTAAATCACGTTAACATTTGCAACATATAAAAGGGATTATATATTGATGATAAGTTTGTTATATTTAATTATAATTTCAATCGCAAGCATGAATAAAAGTTTACATAAAACATGAAATCACTCAAATAACAACACATTTGTACAGATAAGATGTCTCAACATTTTCAATCAATTTCTTTGTCGTTTAATTCTGTGAATGATTTGCTAAGATTTCTAAGGAAGTGCATAAATATGCAAAAAAGCAAGCGTATTGTCATGTCCCTGGACTCTTGTTTGCAAATGTATCAGTCGAGCGATATGAGCAAGTGTAAAGTTAAAGTAAATTTTTGCAAATATCCGACGTGTTGCATATCGTTCATTGTGAAATTAAACACAAGCCATGTGATTATGCAAAATAAAATTTATCGTGAGATTAAGCGCATCTTATTTGTACCAATCAGTAATATTAAGAAATATTATCTGAAGTTTTTTTTTTAAGTAAATGTGAATTTATTTTTCAAAAATATAATTAATGCACTTCATTAGAATTATATCCATTTCTATTATATATTTTTGGTTATTCTGTATCTAATAAGTAAAATTAATTACATCAATAGATTAGATATATATATATATATTATATTTTTGTACTTCTTTAATAAATTTATTTCGTATTGTTAACATGTTTTTTATAGCAATTAATTTTGTTTTTTTACATATCATTTACGTTCCATGATGTCATCTTAGTGCAGATTGGTGCCTGTCACAATTTTGTGATTAAATAATTGTTTTAAATTTAAATTTTTTTTCTATAAAATTTAGTTTTTTAGTTTTACAGTGGGAAAATGCATATCTTATAAAAAACATTAAATAAAATGATGTCATAATTGTTAATACTAATAATTTTGATGTGCAGTAATACACATAAATAATAATCACAATAAGTAAATATTAAAAATATATACATATATGCATATATTTTTACTTGTTATTTTAAAAAATTGTTTTCTATTGAAAACAAAATGCAGTTATAGCGGCTGGAGAATAATTTCAATAATTTAATGTATTTAAACTTCACAAAAGTTTGTTACAGATTGAAAACTTCTATCGTAAATTGTGATAACACATTTTAGCAGTATATTATTTGCTAAAACAATGATAGCAATATATCCGGTCATAAACTTTTGTAACTACTGACATATCACTCTACCTATCACATCGCATGTGAGATACATCGGGAATCATGCATTTTTGTTAAGCCAGTATCTGACCTAAATTTAAATGGCTGATATTTCCTTAATTGTTTAGTACAACGTATATAAGGATCGCAGGTAGACGAATGCTAAATTGGTGGTAAACTTCAAAACTTTGTGGAAAACAAACTCGAGAAACGTTTCGCTGTGGATCAATACTGTTGTTTAACTAAAAATGTTGTGGATATTTTATATCTTAAGTATTGTTGCAATACATGGAATTTCAGGTAAAAATGTTAAATATTATATATTTTATTCTATTATTTTATAAACCATTTGTAATACAATGTTGAATTTGAAATTAAGTTTATTAATTTATTATGTGACACAATTTATACTAAATACTTATTTCTAAAACACATAACACTATTTTTTTAATAGTATTTGAATTCAAACAATGATCTATTTAAATTATACAGAATAAATAGATACACAAGAGCTTATAACAGAAAGTGACTATATAACATTATTCTCTGAAAAATTAGCAAACAGTAATCATTTATTATTTGCAAAGATATATTAAACTTCAGAAAAAAATATTAATAACGAAAGATTCGTTGTTAAATAATCGTCTTGACATAAAGTAAGCTTCTGTAATGATACAGCTGATGAGTCATCCAATCATGGCCCGAAAATCGTGGGCGGTTCCTCTGCTACTGATGGACAATACCCTTATCAAGCGTCCCTTCGTTTGAATAATCGTCATTTCTGTGGTGGTTCTATCATAGATAAGCGATGGATTCTTACAGCTTCTCATTGTTTAACCGGGTATGTACTACCGTAATTGTTAAAAATTATTTTATATTTTTTATTTTAATAATAATTTATAAACTATCTCTACAAAGGTTTATGAATTATGTTTTTAATTTATTCAAATTAGAAACAATTTATAACGAATTTTACAAATATTATCTTCTTGAAACTATTTCAATCAATAATTAATTTATGCTTATTTTATAATTATTTAACAGAAATGTTTTTGCTGTTACAAATATAATTAAAAGTACACATTGTTAAAAAACATAAAAAAGCTTTTCATTTGCTATAAGTATTGTATTTGTTTTCTATGTGGCAAAAGTTTGAGGTAAACTGTCTCTTTCATATGGCTGTATGTAAGAAATTATTTTATAATCTTCATCTAATAGATTTAATAATACGGCTATCTCCGTTGTACTGGGCTCGAACACTCTGAATAAAGGTGGTGACAGATACGCTTCAGTGAAAAGGTGGATACATCCCTACTATAGTCCCGCTTTCATCAGGAATGACATCGGATTAATCAAATTAGACAAAGACATTGTTTTTGGAGACAAAGTGAAACCAATTGCTCTGCCTAAGAAAAACTTCGAAAAATCTGATTATCCAGCGACGTTGTCTGGTTGGGGCACGACCAGTGTGAGTAGAAAGAAAACTATTGAATTATGCATTGATATGGAGATCATTGCTATGTGCATTGAATATTTATGACATTTTTGTTAACATTATATATCAAGGAATATTTCCATTCATTTTCTACGGATTTGAAACGTCCTGTATGCGGTACTTGTTAATGTGGATTAATTGCGCTCATTTTGATAATGATCGTATTGTGTGGGCCATTGCAGTATCCGGGGAACGCGCCAAATGAATTGCAGCACATTGAGCTCACGGTCATCGATCAAAAGCAGTGCCTAAGCGCCAGCTATCGAAACACCAACAGCAATATATGCACATTCAACAAACACGGCGAGGGTGCTTGTCACGTAAGTGTATTCTAGTCTAGTTGAGTATTCAGGAAGCGGCTTCTCTGCTATGAAGAGACAAACATTTCATATTGATCTCACAAACGTTGGCGAGATATGAAAATCTCACCAAAAAAATCTTTAATAATTAATTACATAACTTATTTCTAGATTATCTTAAATTCATACTTAAAAAAATCAAGGAAAGATAATTGCTTTATTTTAAAAGATACGTAAAGTTTACTGAACATGAAAATTTAATTGCAATATATTCCAATCATTTGAATTTAGTACACAAATGTTCGATAAAAGCGGATTAATCTAATGTTCAAGACATTGAATTAACTTAAATATATTGTTTATATAGGGCGATTCCGGTGGGCCTTTGGTAGCCGATGGTACGCAGATCGGCGTGGTGTCTTGGGGAGTACCATGCGCTAAAGGACACCCAGACGTATTCACACGAGTCTACTCTTACTTAAATTGGATCAAACGTATCAAAGAGGACAATTCCTTATAAGTGATTATAAGTAAATACTTCTTGTAAGTTGATAAGAAATCATCCAATTTTCCCGACAATAATAAATGCATTTTATCCTAAGATTTTACTGTTTCGCTAGAATAGATAGAACGTTAATTATTAAATAATAAAATTGATCTAAGATTTATTTCTAACGCAATACTTTCGATCTTTCCAAAGTAATTTGCGCATTTCTATTCATATGATAAATATATTATGCATATATAAATAAATAAATAAATTATGCATATTTTATACCATTTAAATTCCATTTAATGTGTATTTTATAGGAGCGAAAGAGAGCGCACAATATCAATAATGCAAATAATTAATAGAATTTTATTCAAATCAAAAACTAAAATAAAAATATTCAAATAATTATCAACTCTCTCGGTTAGAGCAATGTCCAGATGAAGGACACTCTCGTTAAACTCTGCAGTTGCTTGCTAAGAGAGAGACTAAACAAACGTGCTACGCCGGCCAGACATGTTTCGCAAAATCATTCTTATTTGCACAATTTTTTTTTAACTTGAAACCGTAATAATTTCTCAGCGGCTGGAACAATATGCAATAAGCGACAGAACTAAGAAACTGAGAAAAGGAGAATATAACACACATTATGCATGCTTTCTCCGACAATTTATTTAGATATTATTTAAACATACTAAACAAAATTAATTATTTAATACAAATTACGTAACGTTAGCAATGTTAAATTAATATTTTCAAATTTAAAAATATACAAGCTGTAACGAAAACGCTGCAATTGCCGTAAACTAATGCTAAATTATTTGTTCTTATATTAAAAATTATCATATATAAGCTTTTTTATACATATAAACTCTTAATTATATAACTATATTAACAAAAATATTAAATGACGAACGCATAAGAGCAGGGCATGAATTCACTCGTATATTCTATTCTGGTTCAAACAATAGGTCAGTAACACGATCTACATTAGTTGGATATTTTGCAATTGCACATAATTGGCATTAGCATAATTTCAACAATAGCAGACATTTAGTCGCGCCGAGTAGAATTAAACCCAGCTACGAGCACTGTAAAGATAAATCGTTTGCGCTAATGTAACGAAAATTATATATCACCTATGTCTTGTTTTACACCAGAAACTTAAAAAAAAATTTTTTTTTTCTATTTCACTCATATTATTTTAACAAAACTGCATGTATTAAATGAGATTTATTTGGAAGTAACTATGATTTCTCCTAATCCTTGTCGCATCCTAAAGCAAGCGTAACAATGATTCTTTAATGTCTTTTCAGTTAATGAAGAAATTTGTGAAGAAATTGCCTTCCGCCGCATTAAGTCATGCGCCGTTTCCCACCGATTAACGATCGGCGAATTTAAAGAACTAGCGCGAAATCCTGGCCGAAGATTTCGGTCAAGCTCCTAATGACCCAGTTTCAGCGGCGCATGCTCGACCGTTTGAGTGCATCCGACGTTGCTTCAAGGGTGAAAACGTCGCAGCACGTAGTTGTGCCAGCAGGTGGTAGCTTTCGCGCGCGGAATAAAAGTAAGGAGAAAAAAAGAAGAGCGCGTGTTCGCGACAGAGTACGATCGCGAAGTAAAGAAGAATGATGAACGATCATATCCTCGCGACGTCTCTTCGAGGAAGAGCTTTTGAAGATCGAGACTAACAATGCGGATTGTTGTAACCCTTCTATCAACCATGAAGCCTTGTGTCGTTGTTGGTCATCAATGTTCTTCTGGCACTGCAATAATCGGCTTAAACCGTTCACCCTCAATGTTCAAAAGAGGATCACTGCGAAATCATTCTCAGAAAATGGAAGGAATCTCAGGCAAGTCTCTTTAAATCATAAATGCCTTCATAAAAATTGTAATTGCTTATCATTTGTGAATAACGATTCATAGTTTATCAACTAGATATCACACAATTGCATGTCTACAGATGCTGCAATATAGAAGACTTACATCGTTATTATGCATTTTCAAAGTAAAGCATTTAAAGTCGAAACCTTATAATTTATCTGATCTTTGTGAATAATAAACAATTCATTTGCTCGCTATTCTCTTTCCAATTCTTGCTGAAACGTTTCTTTCCTTGCAGTGTGAAATGAACGCGAAACATGACGAAACCGACTCGCAGGCCGACTAGGATACGGAAGTGCTAATTCGCACGCTGCGACCGACCCGAATCGTCGACGACGGGCGCACCATGTCGTCTCCGCCGAGTCGAATAAATCGCGCGTCGCGCCCGCGCGCCGCGTGACCCAAATAGCGTGACACAAGCGCGTGCGCGCGACCCGCGCTCCCGAGGGTGTGTTTTCATCCCCGCTTCGCTTCCCCCGTCCGCAAAGAAGTCTCTCGTCATCATCTCCGTCGTCGTCATCGTGGCTGTCTTATAGTGCGAACCGCGAACAACTGGTGCTGTGACACCTGCTGTAATTCGAAAGATCGATATCCGCTCGTCCTTGCGCCGTCTTAAAGCGAAGGAAGGAGACCCACGGGCGCGAACATGCCCTCGACGGAACGGCGCTTCCTGTGACTTCGTCGATCCTTCCGTGGATCGCGTGTGATGTAGCGCTGCGGAGGAAACATCCATTTATTATAGATATTCAGTGAGTATTCGACGTGACCGGTGTCCGTCAGCCTGTTTTCGGCAAACTTGCCGAATTTTGTGAGTGTTACGTGTTTTGCGACCGCGCGCTTCGACGGTTTCACGTTCCGTCTGTTGCGACTCTGGCTCGCAATCGCGCGAAAGATGTTTCGGTTTCTTCCGATGGAGAGTTCGATGTAATTTGTGTGTGACGTGCGCGCGCGAAGTTATGAAATATTTTCGAGAGTGAAGAAATTTAACGAAGAAACCATTGAGTGAAAACGCAAAAACTTTGTCCCCACCATTTTTTTTATTTTGTCAAAAATAAAAGGGTTTAAAATGGTCAAAGAAGTGCTCTGGATAATGCGTATTGCATACGCTTTTTAAAAAGTCACTTTCTAATAATCTAATTATAAAGGAAACTCGTCATTTATTTACGTGAAGGAAAACCACATTATTCTAATTACAATCTTACAATTTCACATTATAATCATATATTTTTCTACAACTTTTCTTGCTTCAAAGCCTTGCAAGTAACCGCTTTTTATTTTGACCAAGGACAAATTTTTGTGTCTCAAAAAATTAGAAGGATTTAAATGTTATTCTTTGCGTTGTTTTCGTCGAGCGCGTAGATAAAATGCGAGAGTGTGTCAGGTGTCCGAAATTTTCGCGCATTCTAACTATTCATTGCTTTATCTATGACAGGCTCAGGGTTAATGCACCAACAAATGTGTTACCAGCGAGATAGTCTCTCGCATAAAGCACTGATATCGCGTTGATACGGTTTCTCAGTCTGCGACATGACAGCGCTTCCACTCGTTTCGTGATGTTTACTCGCGACTGTTTACGTTTCTTTCACACGTGAGCGCTACTTTGCATATCGAATCTCTACATGTTTTTTAATGAATATATATTTAGATTTGCATAAAATTTCCATTTTCGAAATATGTATATACGCCTATTAATTTTATTAATCGTTTTACGGCTCAATAAAGTGACAAAAGCACATTAAAAATTTTTTTTTAAATTATTTATCGAGGCACTCAAACGACTCATTACATAATAATGTAATATAGCTGTGTATGTAATTGATATAATTGCTTGCTTTTCGCAAGACAAATATTACATGAATTTTATCTTTTGCAGCAGACAGGTGGCCGCTATAGACATCAAAATAGCGAAAGGTCGCTACTTCATTTAAATAAGGAGCTGGATGAAAACATCATGACTATGTAAAGAAATACTTGGCTGAAAACAACAACTCGCATCGCGCTGAGATAATCAAAAATTTGCTATTATCAAAGAGAGCTTCATGAGCTGCTGCCCCTTCATGTAAGTATCATTTTACTTTTTCTTCGTGTGCAATATCTTTGCAAATATAATTATTATAAATTACACAGTATTTATGGTAATTGTATTTTACATATATATAATATTATCATTCTGCCTAATATTTTCTATGTTATTTTTAAAAAGATATCTCACACAGCATGTATATTCGGCGGACGTTCGGAAGACATTCCAAAGATATCCTCAGGATATCTTCTGGACATCTTTGGATATGTGCGCTATGTGGGGTTGTAGTATGTAAAATATTGTGTAATATCTTCTCATACATTTTTAGTTATATATTTTCGCTTTTCTTTTATCTTTAATAAGGAAAAGATATACCGAATCGTGACAGGTATTGCTATTCTCGGTTTACATGCATATTCACTCACACAAGATTACACCGCTACAGCATAACGTGCTGGTCGCTGCACCTTTCAGACGACTGCGCAGTAAAGAATTCACAGGTTTGCACGGCCGTGCTGCACGCGTGTTTCTTTATGCCGTCGCGTTCCACAGTGTTGTCTATCTCTCCCACGCTCTCCTACGCGATTCAACCTCGCCGCGAGTCTCCCTCGCACTCGTCCCTCTCGGCAGCAGCCCTCTTTCTCGCATCGTCGGCGCCGCGGCATCGCTAATCTTCAGGAGCGTACAAGCTGTTCAAGGACTTGTTTCCGTCTCCTTGAAGAAAGGAAATTGTACATTGCTAAATTTTCAATAATTCTTCTCCATTCGTATCTTGTTTGCATATGCGTTTAATATGTTTTGATTAAAATAGACGTCTATATGTTGATATATTCAAAGTTTTAACATGATTTTAAATCAAATGTTACTTTTGTTTTAGTTGCAGTTTCGTGTCTTCTTTCCCGGACTTTACTAAACTCTTCATTATTTTAACATAGTGATTTAACATAATGACAGTATATAGTCTGAAAGTCACGATTCAAAGTTACGATATATTATGCGCCGCCAAGTTTTCCTTGGCTGTTCTCTATTCATACCTGTTGGCATATATGTCTAATTAAAAATAGACGTCTATGTATTAATTATGTTCATACAGTACACGTTCTAGCATGGTTTCAACTGAAATATTCCTTTGTTTTAGTTGCAGTATCCACTTTTGCGAAACCATCCATTTTATAACATAATGACAGTATTCATAGGCTGAGGGGGAAACAAATTATGGTCATCGGAGACTCTCTGCGCTGCCTCGTCCCCGCGAAACGATCCCGGAATAAAATCACGGCGTCGGAATCACCCGCGCTTGCTACAGCGCTGCCGTCGGTGCCGGCTGCGACGGCCAGCCGCAGGCGACGAACGTGCGCAGCTGTATGTTGAATGTGAGTCGCTGCTGGCTGCGCTCCGCAGCTGATGCGGCTCGTCGTCCGTTCGCCGCCGTGTTGCTGCGCCGTGTGTTTTGTTTATAGAAAAATGCGCCGTATCGAAATTCGACGTTGCCCCGTTGCAATCGGTGATCCGTGTTAATTCCATGATCGACGTCGCGCCTGTGCATGTATCGCGCGATATTCCTCCCGCACGAAGCTTTCGGAAAATTCGGCGAGGAATCTCCGTCGCGAGAAAACCGTCGAGGCTGATCGGTGATGCGGCGCACGGAATCGGACGCGACGTCTGACATCGCTCTCTCCGTAAACGTACAGCGAACTCGCCGCACAATGGATCGTAAGGGGCGAAGGTAGACAAAGGGTCGCCGGACTCAAGTCGCTTCTCGCGGCCGCTGCGAATGGCTGTGTTACCAAGCGTCCCGGCGCGGCTGCATTTATTTATATGCACCCGAGACGTACGACCGCTGGCGTAAGAGATGCGTCGTCTGATCAAATGAATCTACACGCTTCCAACGAGGGCTTCTCGTCCGCGAAATCGAAGTTAAACCAGTGCACCGCGTAGGGTTTGTCCATCCGACGGCTTCCGTCGCGTTTACTTTCGCGAATTGTCCCTCGACTTCTCTAACGAGGGTGACGCGTTCGCGAGGGTTTCACGGAAAAGCGGAGCAGAATGCGCTTTGGTGTTTGGATTCTTCAGAGTTTCTAAGCAGAATTCGTAGTGAGTGATAGGGCTGCATGCACTAACGCGAGTGGTGAAGTGTGTGTTGAATAGAGCGGTGATATATCGGAATATAGCCATTATGGAAGCATTGCGTTTAGCTATACAGTGAGTGTCTCTTTTCGGCAGATGCACCCCGTGATAATCTATTCCTGTCACGCTTTGTTACATTAACATAATCGTAAAAAGAAATCGAGAAATTTTGATTTGTGTTTGTTTGTATTAATTGTATTGTATTTGCAGATATTTCTGTGGAAAATTATTTAAGTAAACTCTTGCTTGGTTTATCTCTAATAAAAATGTCTCAGAATTTTAGAGAACAATGAACTGTTAAACACATTAATCTCAATAATTACGAATTAGTCATCTTTTAATTGCAATAAATGTCTCTTTTACAGATCCATTTTTGTGCTCATTATATTCATATAAAGCTCAAAATTATTGCAAATAAATATTATGATTTTATTTGTAAAATATGTAAATTAGGAGAAATCTTTGGACTCATTTCTGTACAAAATATTTCAAAAGTTTTGATTGCAAGGAAACAGAATTATTTATCTTGATGACTATTATTTTTCTTTTTTTATATACTATATTTATTTAATACTATTTTTTATACTTTGCTACAATGTTTAGATTATTGATTTTAATGTATAAATTTTTTTCTTGTGTCTTTCAGGACGCGGCTCGGGGAGAGGATGGTCAGCATGAGCTCCATGCTTGTGGAGACAGTCAGCATAAATTATGAGGATTTTAATGAAAGTTTTTTAACTTGCGGCACCTGTCTCTGCGTTTACGATGGCAGTGAGCATACGCCTAAATTATTACCATGCTCACACACGGTATGATTCATGTGCAAATAAAATCTCTACGTGCATATATATTGCATGTATATTTTAATAATTTTACATCTGCTTGTTACAGGTATGTTTACATTGCTTAACAAGGATTGCTGCATCCCAAACACGAGAGACAGGAGCGTTTAGATGTCCCATTTGTAGAGAATTAATAACAATTCCTCGTGGGGGAGTACCAGCATTGCCTCCGAGCTTTCTCGTAAACCAGCTGTTGGATCTTATGTCCCGGCAAAGACGAGAGGTATAATTGTTATTCAACTAAGTTGATTCTTTCTTAGGTAAAATCGATCAGTATTGTAATGTCTACATGCCTATATCTATTGCAGGTCATCCCAAAGTGTTCAGTCCACATAAATCAGGAATTATTATTTTGTGAAACATGTGATACAGTGTTCTGTACAGTGTGCACTAGCGGCACACACGCGGGAACATCGCCTGGATGCACAGAACACACTATTATCCCTTTTAGTATTGCGATAAAAAGGATGTCCGAGATACTGCTTTACAAAGCTAACGAGTGTATATCCAAGGTGAAAACTAGTTCTTTCTTTTATTACAAGCATCACATTTCGTATATTTTTATAAGCTTTATATTTAATATTCCAAATTATCATCTCTGATATGAAAGAAGGCTATTTATATATCTTATCATAGAGTATCTTATCTGTTTTAAAACTTTCACAATCTTAAAACACGTATCTCAATAATTTATACACTATGATTTCATTTTCACGTATCGTTATATTCTGTGAAAGCGCTTTCAAATTAACGAAGCGATGGAGATGCGAAATGCGGCTTTACCCGCCATTGAGTTAAGAGTTACGTTTTTCAGTTAACACAGGCGCAAGATTCTGTAAGCACGGAGCTGCAGCGTTTGGAGGCTTCCACGGAGAGATGCTTGAATGCAGTAGACACAGAGTTCGCGGACATCATCTCGAAGATGGAGAGACGTCGGGCGGAATTGCAAGCTGCCGTAACTTCCGCCGCTCGCGACAAGAAGCACGTGCTGGAGGAGCAACATTCTCTTATCGAGGCGGAGAAGACCAAGGTGGAGAGAGAGTGCGAAGGATTGCAATATCAGGTAGAAAATAAACAAAGAGTAAAGATGTAGCTTTACATCTTGCGCGTGTCGCCTTACGCAGTATGATTCAATTTTGAAGGTCGAGGTGCGGAATATCACCCAACGTATAAACAGTCTATCGGATCAGCTCGACGCGGCGACCGCTCTCAGTGAACCCAAAGAAAATGCTTTTATCACGTTCGAGTTTAATCATAACGACGCTGTCTCCCATTTGGAGCAGGCACTGAGTAATTTAGGACGAGTACGTTCCAGTACAACGTTACCAGGTATTTTAAGGATTGATAATACAACAAAGTACTCGCTTTATTCGTTCGCTGTTTTACGCTAAATGAAATAATGTGTATTGAGATTAAATTTCGAATTTGTCATTACAATTGTATTCAATTACGTCAAAACAGGAAGTTATAAAATAATATTGTTATATATTACAGATTAAATCGATGAATTTTCTTGCATATTAATATTTTTATATTTGATATAACATAATATGCAAATTTTGTAACTAAAAACTCAATTTTGATTTTTTTACTGGACAAATTTTAATCTATATGTGTGGGATTTCTAGAATAAAAAAATGATAGCTATTTAATAATTTATTAATTGATAAAAAATAGAAAAAAATTGGCACGAGTCTATTTTACACAAGAGCGATATTGTACAAAAAAATTAATTTCAATGTATGTTGCAAGTCGTTCATGACTTTCCACTTTGTAATCTTTGCTATTTATTTAATATGGATATTTGAAGATTTTTATAATGCTTTATTTATGCATTTTACCGTCAGGTTTGTGCCGAGCCAGACTGAAAGATTTAGCGATCGTGAAATTGCAAACAATCGTTATCGTCGAAACGGTAGATTACCACGGCCATCCCCGAAACGTCGGCGGCGATCTCATCGGCGCTGAGTTGACACTGGCGGATAATATACATGCGGATAATCAAAGCGCTTCCATCGAGGCGGAAGTGAAAGATCTCGAGAACGGAACTTATGAAATTTACTTCCGGCCACCGACTGCAAACCGGTATATTTTGAAGATATCCGTGTTCGAACGACCTATAAAGGATTATCCGCTATTTTTCGACACGACGGAGCACAATGAACCCATTAAGATCTACGGAAGACGCGGTAATGGAAAAGACGAGTTCCACCAGCCAGTTTCGGTCGCGGTGGACGACGAAGGAATGATTTATATTTTAGATACTGGAAATTCTCGCATTAAGGTTCGTTTGGGAGAATACAATATTTTATATATTATAGAAAATATCCAAATTTCAACTTTTGCGTGTTGCTTTTCAGGTACTGAATTGTGATTTAGAGTTTCAAAGGCACATAAGCAATGAAGGCTTGGAAGGCCGCAGTTGTACGGGAATTGGTATCTCTCAACAGGGTCTCGTAGTCGTGAATTGGCGAACGCGAAAGATTACAGAAATGACTTTGATAGGCGATACAATCCGATCCTTTTCGCATAATGCATTTCAAGTGAGTAATTTTCAGTGCCTCTTATTGCAGAAAATTGATAATAGACGTAATGCTTAACTAACCTTACCTTTCAGGAACCCATAGATATTGCAGTGGACAAAAGTTATGGGCATATACTTGTCGCTGACAATGGCCAAAGCTGTGTATTCGTGTTTGACTCAGACGGCAAGATATTATTCCAGGTTTATTTTTATATATATTTATATGAAGTTTTATTGCAAGTTACTTCGTATGGTCTTTGTGTAGTCATCACGAAACATTAACAGGTTGGCAAGAGAGGCACGTTCAAGCTAATCAGTTCTGTGACTGTCGGTCCGGCCGGTGAGATTTTAGTTGCTGACAGTAGGATTCAAGTGTTTTCCGCGAAGGGAGATTTCTCCGAGGAAATCTATTCCGAGGGCAAAGGTGAATTTTAGTATCTCCATATAATTACTCATTTTTCTCTGAAATGCGCATATTATATCAAAGCACAAGATACTAGGAATATGCAAAAGTTTCCATCATTTTAAGATCATTTTCTTTATGAATATCTTATTAATGATACAGTATTTTTAGTCAAAATATTTTATCTGTCACTTTTTAAGCAAAAGATGGATACCGTGATGAAAGAAGTCTCTTTTGCATATCTCTAATATTTTGACATTTGTATAATCCGTTAATTTAATTTTTAAAAATTTCTCGAGATTTTTTTACGACATGACAAAGATAGACTATATATATGCTGAAATTTGTGTGCGGCAGGAAAAGGCACGTACGGAGGAATAGCGGTGGACGTGGATGGCAAAATAATCGGTACTCGCACGGACAAGGGTCGTAGCATAATACAAGTGTTGAAGCTAGGCGGAGGTAATATTTTAACCGAAATTGACTCTCACAGCTCGAAGCTGCGACGTCCGTCGGGCATAGCTGTGCTGCCGGACAATCATCTGGTGGTGGTGGACTTAGGTAATGATTGTATAAAAAAGTATAGATACTGGTAAGAAACCAGTTTTATTTGAGCATCAAAATTTCGGTTGCGGAGCGGGAAGAGAAACTCTATTGCGAAAATACCAAAACTGAATCTAATTTAAAATTATTTATTCAAACTTTTGTGGGATGTGTAGTTGTAACGTTACGTATTATATATTACGCGTGTAATACCTATGTTTTTATAAATTTTTATATATAGTTTAAAAAGTTATGATAAAACTTTACGTGGATTGAAATAATATCGGAAAGGAACTTGAGTTCGCGATATGAAGCAGTGAATAACGTATTACAATTTATGCTTTGCCATTTTCCATAAAGTGTGTTTAATTTTCTTGTTTTTTTTTTTTGTGTGTGTTCAATATTTCTTTTGTCTCTCGCGCAATACACGCGGGGATATAAAGTTTTTCGCCGTGAATAAGACAAAGTCATTTGAAATGCTCAGTACTTATTGTATGTATACCTTTTGTATTTTATGACTGTTTAAGTCGCCCCCGATTAATATTTAATCGTTTGAACGCGTAAAACAACTCTATTGTTACTGACTAACCTAGATACACCCACGAGCGGCGATTTCGTTCTATTCCAGTTTTGTTAAATTAAATTCGAAAGGTGCTTTTCTCTGATTCTGCGGTAAACACGCGTCTATATATGACAACAATTGGAAAAGTAAATTCTGTTTTACCTTACCATTATTTTTAATTAATATATTCATCGTATTTCAATGCCTGACTGTTTAATTTAACGCTTGATTTGTTTTCTCAAGGAGCGAATCATTGTTCATGGGTGTATAGTATTAATATATAGAAGTTGTACACTGCCGGTTCATATTCTTTTACATCTCTGTCATGATAGAGCGCAGAACTTTATATTACATAAAATAAAGCACACAATAGATTGCCTAAATATCATACTGTTGAAATCATACAAATTTTAATTAAATTCTAAACATTTCATTAATCATCATGAAACTTTGAATCAAATTTGAATTCAATTTATGTTTCCGATACTACTCTGCATTTATTAGTTATATTCATTCGACATCGCGTTTCTTACATTTGTTCATTTATATTACGCGATTTAAGAAAAACTAGTTTTTATTTCTGTTTTATCCTATTTTTTTTTAATGTGAAGCATTTATTAGCAGAATAAATTCGTAACAGTTTCTTGTTTTTTAACGAGAAATTTAAGTTATATTCACTTCGGCACTACGTGATGTTTTAATTAACTAAGTAAAGCATAAATTATAATTAGTGTAAGATAACTAGGCAGAAATAACTAGAAATATGTTAACATATTGTACATATATTTTTCAGTATTATCATACATTTGATAGAATTGACATGGTTTGTTTATCTAGAGATTA